CTTCGTCTACGACTTTCGCGATCTCTTGATCTTCGTCTACGACTTTCGCGATCTCTTGATCTCCGACTAGGACTCTGGTGGCGGTCGTCGTACTTGTCGTCGTCGTCGTCGTCATTGGACTCACGAGAACTTTTTCTTTTGTCATCCGATTCTGAATGTCTGGAGGAGTGTCCTAATGCTGGATCCGAATGACTAGTCGTTGATTGTTGTGCTGTCTGTGCTTTTGATGAACTACTTGTTGTTGGTTTTCGACTTAACTTCGACCTGTAAAAGGGCGTTGGTTTCAATTGACTACTTTTGATGAGATTTGTAATTTCTTTGTCCGTTTTCGTTTCAAGCAACGGTTGTAGTCCTCGAGTAATGTCGTCAACTTTTGGATCAATGTTTACCTGAATTGCCGTTTTGTTGTCATCACTCGGATCGACAAATTCATAGTAAAGACTTTGAACTTTTCCTATTCGGTGATCAGTCTTCTCATAGTATCGTCCGTCGACACCCAATCTATAGTCTAAACGATTTTCCATCAGATGTTTGTAATCGCATGGATTGATGATTGGTTTCCATTCGTATTCATCGAAAACAATCGACTCTTTTCTCAGCTCTAGTATAGGTGACTCTTGTGTGCCAAACGGATAAATAGATTTCTTGGACAGTGTTTTGTAGGTCATTGGGTCGTAACTGTACTTTTTGAAGACTGTCCGCAAATCACATTTTTTGTCGGTAAATGATAATAGTTGTGGCAAATAGTAGAGCCGAAATTCGTTAGTCTCGGGATTAGTGATCTTGACCGGTGGATAGGCCGGTGGCGGACAGTATGAGCGCCATTCTGACTGGTCTTTAACTTCAGTAAATCGATAAAAGTTGAACTCTTTTGGGTAGACTTTCGGATTTTTTCGGTTATAACGATCTGATGGATCGATATTCCATTTTTTATAATAATCTTCATAAGCTTCTCTGACTCGATGTGAGTCATGAATGTCGATCTCAATATGTCTGTCCACTTTAGTCTGGTTTTCAGTCCATGTATTTGTGAGAATCTTTTCAAGCATTTTATTGTCTTCGGGCGCCTGAAATCGTTTCGGTTTTTCATAGATGTATGAATTTGCATTACGGTGTCTCACAATTGCCCGGTGCAGCTGTTCGTATTGATGTCTTTGCCAAATCTCATCAATTCCTGGCCCCCATTCCTCGACGGCCACAATGTAGGCACCTTCCGGTATGACCAGATAGCATTTGCGTCGACATCGCAGAACATCTCTTCCCATATCCTTTTCATGGCCTCGTTTATCAATCACCAAATCCCAGGCAATGGTATTATAATCGGATTCATTTGCTCCCAAAAACAACACCGGATTTCTATAATCTTTGACTGTTTGTCTCATCGATTCATTCTTTATATAGCTTTTGCAAAATTCTTTCCACGAATAGGACACTGGTTGGTAGTGTCCGATTATATTATCATAAACCGGAAACGAAACCTCCAGTTCGTCTTCTACCACTACAACACCTCCCTGTTCGACAAGTACTTGGTTATGCTTTTCGATTTCCGGATCATTATGATAACTGTCCCGAACAGTTAGTTTTGCACCGGCACACACATAAAATGCATAGCGTCTAGTGTACGGCTGATCATCAGATTTCCTTTGTCTATCTTTTAAACAAAACTTTTCAAATAAACGTTGCGTCAGATCGTAAACACCGGCCACTGATACCGGTGTCTTGTATCGGGTGTAGTGTCGGGTATCTGTTTCAGACTTAAGTCGATACTCCCTGTCGACTATCCAATAATCTTTACCCGCATCTGATATTCTTTTCGTAAATTTATCATATTTTAGATAACAATCGCATAGATTTTGTTTACCGAATCGCCGATAGAGTAGACCCATTGTAAAAACCTGAGTTTCCAATACATCCCTTTTTGGTTTTTTTTTTAAATATTCTTCGCTTAGTTCGTTGCGTATGGTCGGGTATTGGGCAGTTATTTTGGACGTCTTTAACATATCGATCACCCGATTGCTGCGTTGAGTATGTTTAATTGCAATCAGTCGACAACAATTGATATTGCCGTTGTTGTCTATATACAAGTGTAGACCCAATTGTCGACCGGCCGATTGCCAAAAATATTTATCACCCACTACAGGATTTTCGATATATTTTCCGGGTAGATTGATCGATAGGGGAACCACTTCGGCTATCTGATCCAAAGTTGACTTATGGGCTGGATTTCCCAGATAGTTGCCCATCACTAGCATCGACGTCAGTGTCTGATACCAATGAAACTGATAATATCTTGCTTTGTCGAGATCTGTCGCCATGAAAGCCATGGTTAAGTATTCGCTGGGTCTAGCGCTAAGGTAGGGCCGGTTCGGTCGATAAATGGCAAAATGGTGCCAATCGTCTTCATAATACGCAAACTGATACTCCGTTTGGCTGGCATTCAAAATCACATTATCATCTCTTTCATCAACACTTTCTTTAGATTTCACTGAAACTATAGATCGCTGGACATACAGACCGAATACCCGATGATAACTGTTGAACGACCAGAATGTTAGCTGCGATTCTTGGTTTTCGTTTGTCTCAAAATAGGGTGTTTCGCGTAAATACAAATAGGTTTCGTCTGTTTTATTGAAATACAGGTTCATCCGGTCATCCACTGCTACAGCCGCCGCCACCACATTGTCGTCGCTCATTGTCGTCTGAATTACTAATCAATTCGTTTGTTTGTCTATCTTGTTATTTGACAGCTCCGGTAGTTTTGTCTAATTGAAGAGAGTTGGTGTCTAACTGTGTGTGTGTGTGTGTGTGTGTCTAACGGTTTTTATCTTTACTATTTGTTTAGTTGACTCTTGTGATTATTGTTTTGTAATTTTGTTTTTATTATTTTCAACAATAAAAATGATTGTTGATTTTGCGGGTGATATAAAAATTTAATTTGAAAATTTTCTATATATATATATATCTATATATATATAATAAATTTTATTATTAATAATTTTTGTTAAAACGATATCTAATTTGTGACAACAAATAAAACTAAAAGATAATAATTATAATAAAATGTGATTTTCTTTTGATTTTAATATTACTACACATTAAATGTTGTTATTATTATTAATCACTAAAATGACAATTTTTTTTACTAATTAATTTTCTTTATAAATTTAAATAGACTAAAATTAAGCAATAATTTCATATTATTCAATATTTTTATTAATATAAATAGTAATAAAAAAATAGTCAATTATTATTTAGTAAATAAATGTTTTTTATATTCTAATTATATATCAACAACAAAAAATAATTTAAATAATATAATTGAATATTTTATTAATGTTATTCATTTTCAGTGTAAATCTAATTCAAATAAAAACTATCACGCAATATTGAAATTATAATTATTTTATTTGAATATTATAATAAATTAGTTAATAAATTACACAATAAATCTTATGAATGCAATTGAATATATTATACATAACTAATATTAAAATAATATATTCACTATTTTATAGTCTATTCATAATTTTTTCATATGACTAGTAATTTTATTTACATTTATATATCTTATATATTTTTTTTATTGATAACTATAATTAACAAAATTTTTATTTTTTAATATTATTAAGATTTAACTTTGATTATTAAGAATTATGATACGGTTTATAATACGGTTTATTTGTTTCAATAATTATACACTATTTATGAGAATGTTTCACCAATAATAATAATATTCAATATATAAATATAATAATGTTAAATTGCTTTTTAACATGTTATACAATAAAATATATTATTTTTTAAAAAAAATAATTTACAACTTATTAATGTATAATTTATTTATAATTAAATAATAATAATATATTTTTAATATAATTCTATACATTAGTATAATTAGTATAGTTAGTCATTTATATAAATATTATTAAATTGTAACGGGAATGGTATTATGGGTTTATAAAGGTTGGTCCCGTTAACACGGTCCGAATAACCGGATACCGTGAATATATAAAAATAATGGATATCACTGCAAAGGTAATGCGCGTAATTTATGGAAGGGTAGCTTATGACACCTCACGGGCGTCACGGTATTTATGGGTGACCCTCTCGGGGCTCACTGGCCACTGGTCAATGCTTATAATATGTCGGAAACCTATATCGGATCTCTGGGGGGCTCTCCGCGGAAACGGAACACCTTCCCCATTAATACACCTAGGCTGTATGCGTAATAATAATAGACGTTATTTGTTCCCTGTGTAGGCCCGTAGGCCCACAACTTAACTTAATTTTATTATAATATAATGTAAGGGTATCGATAATTCATAAGTATTACATGTGTGAGTTTTTAACAATAATTAATTAACATTTAACTAACTTATAATAATAATAACTAATATTTAACTTTACATAATTAATTAACACAATATTCTTAATTATCATAATTATAAAAATCTATAATTAAATATAACATAAATTAGTTATTTAAGATAATCATATTTAGTAATTACATATATAATTTAACATAGGATTTAACATTACATACAGTATAGCAATAAATACAGTATAGCTAATTTATAATAAACATAATAAAGATATTTTTATTTTATTTCTCTGGAGGCGCCCGCCATTCTATCACAAAATTATTAATAATATTTATTTAAAGTATTTTTTATCATATTAAATATTAAAACTATTATAACTATTTTTACTATTATTACTATTACTAATAAGCCTTATTTTTATTTATTTATTTTGTATTTTTAATAATGATTTATTTAGTTATTTAGTATTTTTTCTTATTTATTTATATACTTTTATTGATGAAAATTATTATTATTTTTATTTGTTTGTCTAAATTGATAACTCACGCGAAATATTCATACAAATTAAATATTAATATTAAATCAAATCAAATGGCAATCAATTGTGCAAAAAATATTATAATCAAGAAATTCAAACAAATGATTGAAAACATTAGCAATGATTGGTTGACAACTAAAATGATCGCACAATTATCGGATATACTTACCGTACAATTGGCCGAAACCCGACATTTTCTGTCCACTGAAAGACCAGATATTATTCAGGCAATCGATGGTCAAGATGTGGATCAGTTGCGCACAATTGTCGACAACTTATTGAAGACTAGTCACACATTTACTAATAGTATCAATAGTTTGGAAGAGTTTGTAGTGATTTTGCGAAGATTGCACTTTGATTTTATTCGGCGCAATGAAAGCTCCGGGAGTTCAGCGGTACTCATGACTACTACGACCGCAGATCTTCGATCAGATTATCCGCCGTTTAGGTTACCATTTGTCGAATGTATGATAAATGGCCGAAAAATTATTGGACTTATCGATACCGGTGCTCAGTTGTCGACAATTAGCCGAAAATTGATCGACCAATGCCAAATTGGCCAGTCAGTTGATAACAGTTTTCGGGCCACAAGTGTCGGTGTCGGCAAACAGGCTATTATCGGCCGAATCCGATCGCTGACCATTACTATCGGTAACTGTCCGCTGATAATCAATTTGTGTGTTATCAATACGTTTCATTCCGACTACTTTCTTATTGGTCAAGACTTTCTGGTCGCCAACCGGTGTGTTGTCTACTGTGCCGAAGGTTTGGCCGTTTTTAGACGGTGTCAGCTCGTCGTCAAATTTGTTAACAATATTTACTAATGATATATATATACAGTACTGTACAGTAGTATACTATATGTATAAATGTTTTTACAATATTTATTTAGTTAAATATTATTATGTGATTATTATGTGATTATTATGTGATAAATTTGTATATTGTATGGGGTTGTCATCAATATAATGTGTGTGTAATTTTATATCAAATTTTTCACAACTATATTGTAAAATATAGATATTTATAATTAAAATAAAAACATCAAATTAAACCACACAATTACTTTATTATTACTATACTATTATTTTATAATTTATTTTTTAAAATCAAATTTATACATCCAATTAATTAATTGCATACATATATGCATACAAACAACAATCATCCCAAACACACACACCCATACCTACACCGACACACACACACACACACACACACACCCGAACCTTAATACTCACCGTCCAATTTAAGCTGTTGTGTCTTACATTTAGTGGCACCGGTATTTGATCGGATGGTCTTCTCTATCCATCGCTGATAATGACTGACTTTAGTATAGACAGCGTTGGGTGTCTTGGCATTGGCACACTCTCCCGGTCCGAACGATACGATACCGATTTCGGTCATACGCTGGACACCACGTTTGTCGCCCATCGATATGATCAATGGTCCGCCACTGTCGCCCTGACACGGTGCCGTCCGGTCGACACCCTGACAGAGCATACCTTCCGATATGGGAACCGGATAGGGATATTGCCGGCATTTGTCGTGATTGATAATCGATACGTCGGTATACATGAGCATATCGGATGGAGTTCCCCGATCTTTGGTCAGTCCCCAGCCGGCTATTCGACCCTTACCCGCATAGTCGGGCATTTCGTGCGGCGGCAAACATACGCCATTAATATGGCCACCTCTTTCGTAGTTGATATCAAACGAACCGTTCGATGGCAAACGTAACAGTGCAATATCGTGCTTGAATCGGCCGTACTGGCCCGACCAGCCCTCATGTTGTATAACACAGTCGGCCGTTTTTGTTTGCCTATCATGCGACGACAATTTACGATTGGTCATACCGGCTGTTATGTCCACACGCATTGCAGTCGGCTGACCGTTACGTTCATTGCTCACACAGTGTGCTGCCGTTAGCACCCACCTACAATAATAAACACCCACCAACAAAACATTGTAGAAATGAATAGCTGCTAATTTCATATTATACTAACTACTGTTCCCCCCCCCCTGAATTTGCTGCTACTTTACCTAGAGTTTAGTATAGCGCCGCCACATTGCATGGGTCCCCGAGCCGTCTGTATCCTTAACATGACTTGCCAGGGAAACTCGCCGCCTTTGGCTACCTTTCCCATTACAATTTTGTTGCCGATCAGGACCTGCGGTATATGACTTAAGCCGCACGACTTGACAGTTATGTCGTTTGCATCGGTAACAGAGCCGCCAGTTGGTGGTATAGCTGCTGCTGATGTTGTTGTGGTTGTTAGACGCGGAGGTGTGGGTCGCGCTGATGGCATAGTGGCAGTCGGCGGCGGCCAGTTATTGCCCGATGATGATGACGGTTTCTGTGTGGACGATACTGGCCATTGAATTGTTGGTCGTTGGCTAACAATTGCTGCCGTTCCAGTTGTTCCTACTGGTGGCCACCATTGAATAGCCGTAGGACGCGGTGCCGCTGGTCCTGGTGCCCATTGACCGGGTGCCGGCCATTGGCTAATGTTCCAGTGGGCAGGCGGCAATTGGCTGGTGTTCCACTGGGCCTGCGGCCACTGATTAGTTTCCCAGCTGGCCGTTGGCCAATGTTCCCATTGTTGTTTTTTCACCCATTTCAGTAGTGTATTATTTTTATCTAGCACCGGTATTTTATTATTAGTGACTTCTACTAACTGTTCACAATTGCATACCAGTGCCAGACCTACTAGTTGAAGCACTGATAGTTGAAATATAGTAAACATTTTTTATGATTATTAAATTAAACACATAATAATTATACATTAAAAAATAGAAAAAATTAATTTTCTATATATTATCACTTTATATACCTGTCCAGATTAATTATATACATATTACATGATACATAGCTAATAATGTTTTTTTTAGTAAAGCACCGGTAGTTTCTCAAACGTTTAGCTTATAATTATATGATGATTTTGTTTTTAGTACGAACCCGCATATATATATAACTTACATACAAGTTAATAATTAGTTTTTTTTTTAAAATCAATTAGTATGCATAAAGTGTTAAAATAAATCAATAAAACAGTTAGATAATTAGGTAGTTCCTGATTTTTGTTTTTGTTTTAATAACTAACAATAAAACAACAACAAAATAACTAACTGTTGCTAACCAGTAGAAAAGTGAAGGGGTAGTCAACAACAACAAAAACAATTTGATATACCATTATATAATATCTACAGTTTTCTCGGAACGGGTAGACTCGTAAAATTAAAGGTCGAGTTGTCTGTGGTGTTGGTGGTGGTGGTATTGGTGGCCATACCTCCAAATAATGAACCGGACAGTGCAGGTGCTGCTAGTGGTGACGGTGGTTGTGGTGGTATCATAAACGGACTGTTGTTATTATTGTTGAATGGAGTAGTGTTGGTGGTGGTGGTAACGGCGGTACTGTTGTTGGCATCGGGATTATCAGTGCAAAGCCGGCGTTTGGCACCCAGCCTAATGTACTCACCACCGGTTCCTATTGTATAGGCGCTGCTGTTTGTCGTCTGTTGTTGTTCCCCATGAGCTACCAGTGCCGACGCATTACAACAACTACTATTACTACAACTGTCGAAATAGCCTTTTAGTCGCCAGCTTTGGTACATAGAAAACTCGTACTGGCGATACCAGTGCTCGGCAATCGGTTCCCAATCCATTGGTTCACTACAGTTGTTGTTGACACCAATTGTTGTTATCGTTGTGTTATCAATGGCTGTACAGTTAGCCATTAACTGTTGTTGTTGTTGTGCTGATGGCGATGACTGTCCTCCTCCTCCTCCTCCACCAACAACTCCACACTGGTTGTCACCGTTGAAGATCCAGTATCTCTGTTGACTGTTGGTTTGATCCATAAAGATCTCACAAAGAGAGTGATAAGGATAGAACAGTTGGGTTTAGTGGACACCTCCTCAATATTGGCCGACAATATTTGAATTTTTATATTAATTTATTTTTTTTTTAAAAAACCCTATTTTTATTTAAACATGAAATTTTGAAAATTATAAATTTTATCCTTAAAAAAAATATGTTTCAATTAGTCTATTAAATCACTATTAAATTAGCAAAAAAAACATTTGTTTAAACTTATTTAGATATTCTAACCGTAATTCTAATCAATAAAAATCTAAATTGATTTTTACTTAATATAATTTAGTTAATTAACAAAAAAAAATAAATATTTAAAACCAAAAATTTATTACTTTGGCTTTTAATTATTTATTGGTAAGTTATAAAAATTTAACAAAATTATTAATAATTATAATTCAAATGTTAAATTTAGTAAAAATCTAAATTGAATACATATTATTATTACAGATTCATAAAAAAAACAATTAAATTTATGATAATAATAATTTACAATCATTTTTAAAACAACAAAAAAAAAATTACAAACTCTATGCAATTATTAATTTAAAAAAAACAAATAATTTCAAGTTATATAACTAATGATAAATAAAATGATTTGAATGAAAATAAACAATAAAAAAAATTAAGAGAAAAATTGTTAAAAAAAACAAATTAAATAATGATTAATGTTTTTTTTTTGTTGATAAAAATGAGTTTACAAAACATTAGGCTTAACAACAATCACAATATTGATTAGAGTTAACATTAATATATAAATTTTTTTTTAACTTTTAAGAAAATACTGTATTAAAACAATAACAGTATATACCGTATATATTATCATATAACTGTCCATTTCAATGGTTAATGCAATGGATATGAGTACTGCTGATACGATATGGATGATGATAATAACACAAACAAACAAACTATACCATTCCCATCCCATCCCATCCCATCCCTTCCCAACCCCTACCTTACCGGTCAAAAATGTGAAAATTAATGTCCCATTTGTGCGTATCAATGAAATAATTAGCAATCAAAATGCTTATTATAACAACAATAATTGCCAAAACCAAATAATAGGTCCAACGTTTGAGTCCTATAATAGGATAAATGGGAGGAAAGGGAGGCACAAAAAAAATTACTATTGTTTTTTTTTTAAAAATATATACATATATATAAATAGAAATATATATTGCAATTGAAGGATGGGATGGAGGGGAGGGGGAAAGCAGTGGATAGTATTAATACCATTGAAATAACAATTGAAACAAATAATAATAATACTAATAAATGAATGAATGAATATAATATTAATATTAAAAACTGATACAACAAAATAATATGAGAGATGATAACATATATATTTAATTATAACAAATATATATATAATTATATTTATCATTATTTATATATTAATATTATACTATATATTATATATGATATATATATACAATATTTATCATATATTATAATTAATTATACAAACAAACAAACAAATAAAATAAGAAAATGAATGATAGAAACTAACAAATAGTTGTTTTTTTTAAATATATATAAATAGAGATCAAACAAAAAAATTCAAATAACAAACAATTATTATTATTATTATAAACTATTAAAATATTATTAATAAACTGATTGATTGATTATATGTAAATGTTTGTTGAGATTATGGATATAGTGATAGAAAGAGAGAGAGAGAGAGAGAGAGAGAGAGAGAGAAAGAGAGGACACTCCTGAGGAATGTTAGCAGAAAAATATATATATATATATAACTGTTTGGATCACCAAAAAAAATAGATCTTATGACCAAACCATGCCATTGTCACTATCATTGTCATCATTTTTTCTCTTATTATTATTATTATTATTAGTAGTATTATTATTATCAGTCATCTTATTCAGGATCAGTTTGTCCCGATCGGGAAAAGAGGAAAAACGTTCGGGTATTAGACGCTTACGTCCGATTCGCTGGTATTCGTGCTGTCGTTTGCGGCCAAAAGCCCGGCCACTGCCCGTCGAATAGACACTACCGCTACCATCAGTGCCAATGGATCCGGATTTTGACTGTTTGTCCTCGTTATCACTGTTGTTGTTATCGTCCTCGTTGTCCACAACATCATCATCGACATCGGCATCGGCTCCGGTATCGATAAACACTTCCTTATTATCGATAACCAATGCTCTCTGGTTTTTCGGTGACCGCTTATACGACAACATCTTTACCCGCAAATCGCATTCGTTGTTCTGTATTTGTTGCAACATTTCCAGCCGCCGATCCAATTGTCTCAGTTCGGCCATTGTTGACCGTTCCTGATTGTGTAGCTGTTCCAGCTGTTGGTCGTCCAGATCGGCAATATCGTAGACCAGACGACTGGTTACCAGTTGTAGACGTTGTTGGGAACGACGAATACGATCCAATTGGTCGGTTAGTTGCCGATTGAGTTCCAGTTCGCGTCGGGTATCCGACAATTGCCGCTCCAATAGTATTTCCCGACGACGACTACGACCACCATTGTTGACAACTTGTTGTTGTTGGCCGACACTGCCGCCGGCGCCGGCAATTGTTTTGCTGTTATTTTTATGATTGGCCGACATTTATTTTGTTGGTACCTTTCAAATGTGGTCAGACACTACTTGTTGTCTGTTATTACCGATAATGGATGACCGATAATGAAGAGTTGACCACAAAAAAATTAATGTCCGAAAAGTTATGTTTTTTTTTATTTAAAAAAAAATTATTTTCATCTGTTGTTTGAAAATTCAGTTTTCAGTTATTATAATAACTGTTAGGATATATATCATAGGGTTTTTGGATGTCTAACAACAAACAACAACACATAGGGTGTGTGTGTGTGTGTGTGGTTGAGCACCGGGAGGTACAGTATATAGTTATATACTGTATACAGTAGTATAAGCTAACAGTGAGAGTATGGAGGGGAACAGTTAGATGTATTTAGTAATAATAAGTCGTTATTAATGATATAAAATATACCCCAAAAAAAATAATAATACAATACATGAGCGCTAAATACTGGGATATTTAAGAGCTGACGAAACCAGTTGAGAGAGAGAGAAGGGCGCGACTATAGGTTAGACCAGTTAACCAACAAAAAAAAACTACTGGTGCTGTTTAGTAACTAAACTTTAGTTTGTTAATAATTACAATAAATTTAATATAATTAATACATTTATCAATAATTTAGTCATAGAGAGAGAGAGAGAGAGAGAGAGAGAGAGAGAGAGAGAGAGAGAGAGAGAGAGAGAGAGAGAAGAGAGAGAGAGAGAGAGAGAGAGAGAGAGAGAGAGAGAGAAGAGAGAGAGAGAGAGAGAGAGAGAGAGAGAGAGAGAGAGAGAGAGAGAGAGAGAGAGAGAGAGAGAGAGAGAGAGAGAGAGAGAGAGAGAGAGAGAGAGAGAGAGAGAGAGAGAGAGAGAGAGAGAGAGAGAGAGAGAGAGAGAGAGAGAGAGAGAGAGAGAGAGAGAGAGAGAGAGAGAGAGAGAGAGAGAGAGAGAGAGAGAGAGAGAGAGAGAGAGAGAGAGAGAGAGAATAAGAGAGAGAGAGAGAGAGAGAATAAGAGAGAGAGAGAGAGAGCACCGGTATGTTAAACACCAGGTGCCGGTACTATAGTTTTTTTTTGTAGAGAGCAATACTGTAGACAAACAAACAAAACACAAACACATTTCGTGATTAAAATACAACAATCATACAAAACAATCGGTTGTTTTAACATTTTTTTACAAAAACCGACSGACAATTTGGTGGCCAATCAAACACACACACGCTGTATAGCTAACCCCCCCCCCCGGCTAACTGTTCTCAACGCTATCACCATATTACACACACACACATACAACAATGGCCAGACATCATCCGGATCTGGTATTTTGCCGCAAACAACCCGGTGTGGCCATTGGCCGACTGTGCGAAAAGGACGACGGCAAGTGTGTTATCTGTGACTCGTATGTCCGGCCATCGACTTTGGTCCGCATTTGCGACGAATGTAATTACGGTTCATATCAGGGCCGGTGTGTCATCTGCGGCGGCCCCGGTGTTAGCGATGCCTACTATTGTAAAGAGTGTACACTACAGGAAAAGGATAGGGATGGCTGTCCCAAGATTGTCAACTTGGGCTCATCCAAGACGGACCTGTTCTACGAACGCAAGAAGTATGGATTCAAGAAGCGATAAATCATTACTGGTATTACTGGTTATAGCACTGTTAGCTGCTATCACAGACATATGGACAGTCCCTAACATAAAATGTTATGATAAGCGCCTAATAATTGATATTAACTATTAGACTGTCTTTTATTTTTTTTTTGTCATTTATATATATATCATATAATTTTTTGTGTCAATTATTATTATTTATATATTAATTTTTTTTTTAATTTTAAGTACCAATTGATATATTAAATAATTTTATTTCGACATTTGTTGGTTGCTTTTTATTGAATATGTAATTATATGATAACTACCCCCTCCCCCGCCCGTATGCTTACCGGTAACTGTCGGTAATGAGTGGTGCTACTACTCCGGGGTGGAGAGGGGGGTATTAGCGACTGCTAATCCGAGTCAGCAGCTCCTGGAGCTGCCTTTGACTGACCATTTCAAAAGCTGTTTGACAATAATGCTAGAAATGACTGACCCATCCATAGTATGGTATCCATCGATTGCCTAATTTAAAAAAATAAATAATATCCGACCTTTCATTGGACAGGAAATATCGTGATATTCCTCCCACCACCCCTCCCCTTAGAGGCACAGTTATGTGCGATCGATAGGGATGTCCATCAAACAAACAAAAAATTTGTGATCACAACTCAACCAATTTGTTTGAATGTCGTGTTTGTCATGAATTTTGTTTTAATTTTTTTGTTGATTTGTTTGAATTCAATGTTTAAAAAATGTGTAGAAAAAAATATTTATTTATTTTTTACTTATAGTTTGTTAACCATACGGTAGTTTAGTACTGTAGTACATCATAATTTACTATCCAGAAAAAAAACCACCGGTGCTAACAACAATAAACTCCAGGTGCCACCGGTGCTGTCAATATAATACATAGTATAACTTAATTTATAGCATTAATATCGCATTAAAATTTAATATACAGTACATAACAACACAACAAACAATAGTTTTTTTTTTAAAACTTAAATTACCGGTAATTGATAGCCCAATCATACCATCTAATTAGCTAACTGGGTTATCCAACAATCCTCAAACTAGTAACCCCTCAAAAAAAAAACCCCGACTGTCCACACCAACCGAACTCTCCTCGACTACCTTCGCCGCCGCTGTCCACAGCAATGGCCAAACATCATCCGGATCTGATTTTTTGCCGCAAACAAGCGGGCGTAGCCATCGGCCGACTGTGCGAGAAGTGTGACGGCAAGTGTGTTATCTGCGACTCGTATGTCCGGCCGTCGACTTTGGTCCGCATTTGCGACGAATGTAATTACGGTTCATATCAGGGACGGTGTGTCATATGCGGCGGTCCGGGTGTTAGCGATGCCTACTATTGTAAAGAGTGTACACTACAGGAAAAGGATAGGGATGGCTGTCCCAAGATTGTCAACTTGGGCTCATCCAAGACGGACCTGTTCTACGAACGCAAGAAATATGGATTCAAGAAGAGGTGACCACTTATTACTGTTGTTGTTGCAGTTGGTGGACACCTCTGTGGTTTGATTTTCTTTGTTGTTGTGGCGCACCGGTAGCTAATAATAAGGGCTCTGTATGTGGTGAGTCCATAATATTTGTTGGTTATCCCCACTACTACTACTACATTAACTAATTGTCTAAATCAATGTCAACGTTATATATATTTTTTTGTGTGTGAATTGAAAATTCAATTGATTTTTATAATTAAAAAAAATAATTAGTTTTTTTAACTTTTGTTTTGTAATTTTATTTAACTATTTTTTAATACCACTATTTTGTATTAACACTTAAAAAAACACAAATTGTTTTCTTACTTAAAGAATATTATGTTTGTAAATAATTATTTTTTTAAATTTAAAAATTTATCCTGATAAAAAATTACAGTATTATTATTATTATTATTATAACTAACGTTATATTTACTTAATTTTCTAATAGATTTAATAATTTATTGTTTGAATATTATTAATATATATAGTACCGTATATACTGTACTGTATATTTCATATGCGAAACTAAAAAATTTATTTTAAAAAATTAATAAATGAAAAAAAATTAATTTCAATAATTACTGCAATAATAATTGTATAATAATTTATACGATTTGTTAGCACAAGTGGTTACCGATGCGGCCGTAAATATAATGAACAAAAATGATAGTAAAAATACGGTTAAGCCGTAAGTTATGATGATTTTCGGTATGACATTCATTGGCGATACAAACAAAACGCTGAATAGCATAACAACTATAGCCGAGCCATAAGTCAACCAAATGTATAGCAAAAACTTTGACCAATACGTGTGATTATAGTCTGATATTTCTGTAAACAATTGGTTCAATGATTTCATTAGGTTTAGTATATATTTATCAGTATTAATGTGTCTAATAATTAGTTTAGCAGTAGTTGTCAATTGTTTTAATTGTCTATAGATTTCAAACTGTCGGAGCTTTAAATAGCGGCACATTATATAAAAGTAGATTAACTGAAACTGTATAACGTTCCACATATAGGATGCCCACAGTGTAAACAACAGTGTGTTGCCGGCTATACCAAACATGAGGGCATAATTAACTGTCGTCATACTATCGATATGTGATAGATAAGCTATTATACTAATCAATGTACTACATTCGGGTATTATATATGATGAATTAAACTGATAAAACCAACATAACCGGCTCATCCATTTGATTAGCTTATGTATCTCCACCGGATCGCTGAGGCCAACACTATTAGGTGTACGCAAACCGGACATCATTTGAAAACAATGCAAAAATGTCGGTTCAATGTCATTGATGTAGTTATAATAATATGTCAAATTTGATAACAGTATCAATAGTGATAGCAATGATAACAATATGTCCATCAATTTGTTTAATTGCCAAAAATAGCCGAAATCACCCAACAGTGCAAACAGTTGCCAATTGTCCGCCCTATTGCTAATCAACAAACAAACTATGCGTTCAATTAGAAAACCTAAACAAACAATAAATATAACAATCGGCCGATTAAAATACAGTCTGTTTGGACACCAATCACTGGCCAATTGATGGCTACTTAAGCCAATTCGGTATAAATGATAGGCCGACCATTTGTAGCAAACATTTGGCGGCAATAATTTTGTGGCCAAAATTTCAGACATTTTGGTGTTTAAATATAATACAAATTTATTTTAATAATAGCAACAACAATAAAACAATAACTTATTTTACATTAAATAAACAATTTATGATATCAATGTATAATTAGTACACATTGTATATTAAATAATAAATTTCTAAATAATTATTTTATGTAATAGAATTTAATCTATTATTTATATTATATTATTTACTGTATATCGTAAATAAAATAAAATAAAATTAATTATAACTATTTTTAATTAATTTTATTACTAATAGTTAGTTAGTAATTATTCTAAATATTTTTCAATATATCCGATAGTTTTGTTAATTATTGCTAATATTATTGTAATATTTACTAAAAATAAAATGTATTTATATACAGTATATACTGTATATACTGTAGATATTTATAAATTATTTCTATAATTAATTATACAGAATTAAGTTTAAATATTATTAATGTATATTTAAATATAATATTAGTTTAATTATTATTTAATTATAATAGTTTATCTAATGAACTATTATAATTATTTCAACTATATCAATAATAATTGTATAATATATATATATATAAAGTATAATAATATATTTGACCTTAATTTATAAGATATTCAATTTATTTTGCAAAAAAAATAATTATTATTTAAAGCATCTATTAATAATTTATTTTTTTTAAAAATAATAATAAATATGTTACAATGTTATTATGATGGTATGATTGTCTGCCGCACCGGTAGCTAATATACAGTAACAATAATAACTAATTTTTTTATTTTAATGATTTGTAATTATTTTAATTTTATACTATTAGTTGTATTTTATCAATACTAATGATAATCATTGATTGAATTGAAAGTCTAATAATAGCAGTAATTATTTATATATAATTAAAAACTAACACCAAAACTTATTATTAATTAATTATTTAGTTATTAGTTATTAATTATAACTTAATTACAACAAATAATTGATTAATGTATTTAAATCATTTGTTTTAACACAACAACAACAACAACAACAACAAAATATAATAACTTTTTTTTATAAATAATTTTATTATTATATTTTTCACAATTTTACAGAAATTTATTATGAATCGGAAATTAATAAAAAAATACTAATTATTAATATATTACTATTAGTAATATATTAATAATTAGTACATTTTTTCTTAATTAGTAATTTACTAATAATAAAAATAAAAGACAATTGTTTTTTTTTGTTATTGTTTTGTTTTAAAGATTTATTTTTTTACTTCTTTGAAAAAGGATATATGATTTTTAGTTGTTATTGTTTTGGTTGTCATTCAATGGCTATATTCTTCTTATTCAGTCTTTGATTTTTTGTGTGATGTTTGGTCTTTGTCTTTGTCTTTGTCTTCGTCAGAGTCAGAGTCAGAGTCAGAGTCAGAGTCAGATCCATCATAATCGACGAGAGACTGTTTTTTGGGAGATCTCTTCCTCTTCTTTGACGGCGACGACAACGGCGACGTTGGTGCTGTCGGCGGCTGACTCGTAGATGGCTGACCATAACGTTGGGCGGTAGTAGTCGTTGCCGATGACCAGCCTGGAAGTTGACCGGTAGGCCTTACCAATTTACTACCCAATGGCTGGCGTGGAAATAGAATGGCAGGCCTTACCAATGACTGCGGTGGAAGTTGACCGGTAGGCCTTACCAATTTACTACCCAATGGCTGGCGTGGAAGTAGAATGGCAGGCCTTATCAATGGCTGGCGTGGAAGTTGACTGGCAGGTCTTACCAATGACTGCGGTAGAAGTTGACCGGTAGGCCTTACCAATTTACTACCCAATGACTGACTTGGAAGTTGACCAGTAGGCCTTACCAATTTACTACCCAATGACTGACTTGGAAGTTGACCAGTAGGTCTAACCAATTTACTACCCAATGACTGACTTGGAAGTTGACCAGTAGGTCTAACCAATTTACTACCCAATGACTGACTTGGAAGTTGACCAGTAGGTCTAACCAATTTACTACCCAATGACTGACTTGGAAGTTGACCAGTAGGTCTAACCAATTTACTACCCAATGATTGCGGAGGAAGTTGGCTGGCAGGCTTTACCAATTTACTACCCAATGACTGTGCTGGAAGTTGGCCGGTAGGATCTACCAATTTACTACCCAATTGCTGGGGTGGAAGTTGGCCGGTAGTCTGTGCTGATGTACTAACCGATAGCGGGTCAGCCGACTCCTTTGATGTTGGCTGATGATAATCGCTTGATGTTGATGGCTCATGATAGCTGCTTGATGTTGATGGCTGATGATAATCGCTTGATGTTGATGCTGGTGTTGGTGCTGGTGTTGGTGTTGGTATTGGTTTAGATGGCCGAACTTGTAATTGGGCGGGTGTCTGTACCAATTGACTACCCGATTGCCAACCTAGTTGTGCACTACTCCCGTCGCTGACCGTGGCCAAATCATAATTCATAATCAGCGACAAAAATTGGTTATCAGTAATCTTTGTGTACAACACATTGTTTCCGATAGTAATGTCATTAACTTTCGACAAAATGTTTACTGGTATAGCCGTTTTGTTTGGGTCGCCGGTGTTGACAAACTCATAGTAACTGCACCTGACTTTACCGATAACATTGTTGTTAACCTTACGATAATATCGTCCGTCGACACCTAATCGATAGTCTTCACGATTTTCTAACAAATGTTTGTAATCGTAGGGATTGTCGATTGACTTCCAATCGTATTCATTGAAAACTGCCGACTCTTTTCTCAAATCTAGTAGTACTGGCGAGTAGTCATGTTTTCCTAATGGATAGACGGTTTGATCGCCCGGTTCTGTCATATAAGTCCTGTTGTCGCTAACGCCGTACTTAGTGAAGACTGTCCGCAGATCGTATTTTTTGTTGTCGGTGCCAAACGATAATATTTGTGGCAAATAGTATAGCCTTGAGTCCTGTTCACTGATGTTTACCTTTACTGGCGGATAGGCCGGCGGAGGAAAATACGTTCGTATAGTTGACTTGTCGACATCGGGCGTAAATCGATAGAAATTGAACTCTTTCGGAAAGATCTTATGCCTGACTAACTCATCTCCTTGTTTATTGTATACCTCTTTGATTTCAGCGCACAATTCGACAATATCGATATCAAACTGTCTGTCCATTGGTGTCGTCTGGTTTGGTCCAGTAGAAGCATTTGTTAGTATCTTTCTAAGCATCTGATTGTCTTTCGGTACCTCAAACCCACTGGGTTTCGACTGTTCATACATATAACACATTGGATTACTGTGCCGTACGATTGCCTGATGTAACTGCTCGTACCGATGTCGGCGCCAGATTTCCTCGACTCCCGATTTCCAATCTTCGACGGCCACAATGTGTCCGCCTTCGGGTACCGACAGTTGGCATCGACGTTCATATCGGAAAATATTGTTTCCACGATCTTCTTCATATCCAAGCTTATCGATATTCAATTGCCAGGCAATTGTATTAAAGTCGGACTCATTGGCGCCCAAAAACACAACCGGATTATTATAGTCGCGTAGTTTTTTCATCAACGCTCT